TTTTTTTTCCAGACTGAATGTTTTATTTCAACAGACATCCCTGGTTTAAAAAAAAAAAAAAAAAAAGTGGTGGCGGTGGGGAGGGTTCAACATTTCATCACACCTGACAGGGAGCAAAACTTCCATCCCAGAACTCAGAGCCCCTTCGGAGGCGTCACACAGAAGATGCATTTAAAATGACATTTCAGACCCCAGAGCAGTCACTGAAAGCCAGAGCATTAGGGAAAGTCTGTCCACAGGGAGAGCAGGACTTGAAAGGGGTTCTGGGGAGAGAGATTCCCAGGATTCGGAGGCTTTACAAACAAAAGCATCTTCAGGTCACTGTCACGCCCAAAGTTGTGGCCCCCAGCACCCTAAGCGTGGTGCAGACGTCCAAGGCACAGAGCGCAGTGTGGGAATGACCTCCCCGGTGCTTAGGCAGGCTGTTGGTCCTAGAGTCCCATCTGCTGCTTTCCCCAGAGGAGGACACAATGCATGAAGACTTTAAAATGCATCATGTCCCAAACGGAACTTATCATGTGGTATTTTGGTAAATGACAGCATCTAAGCTCCTTCATCCTTTGCTCCCAAACAGGCATTATTAAGTCAAGGCAGTTGGGCAGCAATCTCTTTGCAATCACCCCTCCTGTCCCCTTGCATCCCTATTGCTATGCTCTCTCTTCAGGCCCTCACCACCCTTTCCAGGGGTAGGATACACTTTTAGAGCCTGTGAGAACATTTTCCTACTCTTCCCCTTCTCAGCCATCCTCTCCCAAACTGTCAGACTGATTGCTCTAAAATGCCGATGGGATTAATTTTACTCCTATTGTCCTCAAAGTGAGGCCTGCTCAGCTCTCTCCTTTTTGGCCCCTTCCTGCCTCTTTTGCTGTCCACATCGTCAAGGTGACCAGTGACTCACATGTTATTAAATTCAAAGTTAATTCTCAGTCCTCCGTTTACTTGGTCTTAACCAGCACTGGAGGCAGTTGATCACGCCATCTTCCTTTTAGTCAGTCCTTCACATTGTATTTATAACATTTTCAAACATATGAAAAAATGTAAAGAATAGGACAATGAATGCCCAGTACCCTTCACCTCAACTCACCAACTGGCAACACTTTGCCACATTGGTTCTCCCTCTCCTCCCCACCCTCCCACACACAATTTTAAAGAACCATTTGAAAGCTGTGGGCTTCTTGATGTCTACTCCTGATTTTTTCATGTCCTAGGGAAAAGGATATTCTCTTACGAAACCACGAGACAATTAGCACAACGAAGAAAGGCAATGTTAATTCAATATCGTCAGTAATATCATCAAACAGTTCACATGTAAATGTTCCCAGGTGTCCCTAACCTGTCTTTTTAGCTGTCCCTCCCCCAGTTCCAGTGTTCAATAAAGGAGCATGACTTGTTGTCATGTCTCCTTTGTCCATTTTATGTACAACTGTTCTCCCAGCCTTTTTTTTCTTTCATTATATTATTTTGGATAGTCTAACACCATTGTTTCATAAAATATTCCACTTTCTACATTTCTCTGTTTCTTCACCCGTGGATTCTGGTTAAACTTTTTATGGCAAGAACAGCATGCAGGTGGTGTGTACTTCCCATCGAAATCACATCAGAGGCTCATGATGTGAGGTCGTATCACCTTTGGAGATACTGTCTGAGCTTTTGCTTAGGATTGTGACCCTGGATCTCTCCACTGTAGAGGTATACTTTCCCCTTTGTAAATTCCCATTTGTCTGTGTCCTGTGGGCTGACACTTTGTGTTTATTTTTATTTATTTATTTATTTATTTTGAGATGGAGTCTCACTCTGTCATCCAGGCTGGAGTGCAGTGGCATGATCTCAGATCACTGCAACCTTCGCCTCCCAGGTTCAAGTGATTCTCCTGCCTCAGCCTCCTGAGTAGATGGGATTACAGGTGTCTGCCACCATGCCTGGCTAATTTTTGTATTTTTAGTAGAGACAGGGTTTCATCATGTCGGCCAGGCTGGTGTCAAACTCCTGACCTCAAGTGATCCGCCCGCTTCGGCCTCCCAAAGTGCTGGGATTACCTGGCCTGTGAGGTGATACTTTAGAAACCATTCAAATATCCTATTAGCTCCATGCTTTCAACATCCCCTGGTGATCCTTGGCAACATAAGTTGTCACCTTGGGAACCCTGTCTTTTCTGATCACTTTTGTTTCTCGGCTCCCAGGCCCTAACTTGCCTTTGGTTCTTCCTTTCCTCTCCAGTTGCTCCTTCTCAATCTCTTTGTTATTCTTCCATTTTCTCTGACCTCTAACTGTTGGAGGGTTCTAGAGCTCAATTTTCAGATCTTTTTCATACTGTCGTGTGGCTTTATATGACACCTGAAAGCTGAAGACTCCCAAATTTCTTACTCCAGATCTGTCTCTTGAACTCCACACTCATGTATCCAATTTCCTTCTTGTCAGCTCCACCTATAAGCCTCAAAATCAAGGCCAGGCGCAGTGGCTCATGCCTGTAATCCCAGTACTTTGGGAGGCTGAGGCTGGAGGATCACTTGAGCTCAGGATTTTGATGTGACAGTGAGCTCTGATTGCTCTACTGCACTCCAGCCTGGGTGACAGCAAAACCCTGTCTCTAAAACCCAGCCAACTGAAAATAAACATCAAAATCATCTCAGGCCGGGCACAGTGGCTCACACCTGTAATCCCAGCATTTTGGGAGGCTGACACGGGCAGATTGTCTGAATTTGGGAGTTTGAAACCAGCTTGGGCAACATGGAGAAACCCCGTTTCTACTAAAAATACAAAAAATTAGCCAGGTGTGGTGACGAGTGCCTGTAATCCCAGCTACGTGGGAAACTGAGGCAGGAGAATCGCTTGAACCTGGGAGGTGGAGGTTGTAGTGAGCCAAGATCTCACCACTGTACTCCAGCCTGGGTAAGAGAATGAGACTCTGTCTCAAAAAAAAAAAAAAAAAAAAAAAAAAAAAAAAAAATCTCAAATTTATCAGGACTAAAAATGACCCCTGATACTCTTTACCCTCCAATACTCTCACCCATTTCAATCCATTTATTTAAAAAATATTTGTTGGGCTGGGTACAGCGGCTCAGCCTATAATCCCAACACTTCGGGAGGCCAAGGTGAGCAGATTGCTTGAGCTCAGGAGTTCCAGACTGGCCTGGGCAACATGGTGAAACCCTGTCTCTACAAAAATACAAAACTTAGCTGGGCGTGGTGGTGTGTACCTGTGGTCTTAGCTACTTGGGAGGCTGAAGTTAGAGGTTCACTTGAGCCTGGGGGCCAGAGGTTGCAGTGAGCCAAGATCTTACCACTGTACTCCGGGCTGGGGACAGAGCCAGACCCTGTCTCTGTCAAACAAAACAAAACGCAACAAAAAATAAGAACAAACTATTTGTTGAATGCCTACAATCTACCTGACATGAATCTACACTTTGGGAACAGAGTGGTGAAAAAAAAAAAAAAAGAGAAAAAAACAAATTCCACCCTGTGGAGCTTACTTTCAGTAGGGGAATAGAAAAGAAATAAGCAAATAGAGAGTGATGAGTGCTATGGAGAAGAATACATCAGGGAAGGGGGACGGGAGTGCCACGGTGGACAGGGTGATTAGGGAAGAGCCCACTGAGGAAGTAAGATGAAGCTAAGAGGGCAAGAAGCAAGAGATGGAGAGGCTGGGCACGGTGGCTCACGCCTGTAATCCCAGTACTTTGGGAGGCGGGCGGATTATGAAGCAGGAGATTGAGATCATCCTGGCCAACGTGGTGAAACCCCGTCTGTACTAAAAATACAAAAATTAGTTGGGCATGTGTTGTGGAGAACAATACAGCAGGGAAGGGGACAGGAGTGCTGGGTGCACAGGGTGATCAGGGAAGGCCCCACTGAGAAAGTGAGATGAAGCTGAGATCTGCAGGGAGGTCTCACACACCTGTAATCCCAGCTATTTAGGAGGCTGAGGCAGAAGAATCACTTGAACCCGGGAGGTAGAGGTTGTAGTGAGCCGAGATCGCACCACTGCACTCCAGCCTGGTGACAGAGTGAGTCTGGCTGCTCAGGCAAACACTTTGGAGCTACCCTTGACTATTGGTTCTTTACACTTTCCATGTCCATCCAATCCATCATAAAATTCTGTTGATGCCATCTTCAAAATATATTCAGGCACTGCTCATAGTCTGCAGAATTCCTGTGACTACCTGCTGTCTGGCCTTCCCAGCCTCTGTCTTCCTTCCCTTCTCCATGATCTGTTCCCAACACAGAAGCCAGAGCAGTCTTTACAAAATGTGGGTCAGAGCAGGCCCATCCTCCTCTCAGGGCCCCCCACTCAGCCAGGAGTGCTCACGCCTGTAATCCCAGCACTTTGGGAGGCCGAGTTGGGTGGATCCCTTGAGCTCAGGAGTTTGAGACCAGCCTGGGCAACATGGCAAAACCTCATCTCCACAAAAAATTTAAAAAGAAATTAGCCAGGTGTAGTGATGCATGCCTATAGTCCCAGGTCCTCTGGTGGCTGAGGTGGGAGAATTGCTTGAGCCTGGGAGGTTGAGGCTGCAGTGAGCCTGGATCATTCCACTACACTCCAGCCTGGGTGGCAGAGCAAGACCCTGTCTCAAAAACAAAAACAAAAATAAAGCAAAAAACCCTGTCCATCTCAGGTGGAGTACAAACACAAGTCCTAACCTCGCCTATTTGGCCCTACATGATCTGTCCCCTTCACACCTGCCCTGTGATGTCACTGACCATCACTCTCCCCCATCGTCACTAACTCCAGCCCAAATGTGCCAGGCATCCTCCTACCTCGGGGCCTTTGCACTTGCTGTTCCATTGCTAGGCACATTTTCCCCCTAGAAGTTCGCTTGGCTCTCCCCCACTTCTTGGAGCTCTCGGCTTCATCTCACTTTCTCAGTGGGGCCTTCCCTGATCACCCTGTGTACCCGGCACTCTTGTCCCCCTTCCCTGCTGTATTGTTCTCCACAGCACTCATCACACTCTGTATTTACTTGTTTCTTTTCTTTCTTTCTTTTTTTATTTTGGGACAGGGTGTTGCTGTTACCCAGACTTGAGTGCTGAGATCACAGCTCACTGCAGTCTGATCCTCCTGGGCTCGAGTGATCCTCCCACTTAAGCCTTCCAAGTAGCTTGAACTACAGGTGCGCACCACCATGCCCAGCTAATTTTTTGGTATTTTTGTAGAGACAGGCTCTTGCCATGTTGGCCAGGCTGGTCTTGAACTCCTGGGCTCAAGTGATCCACCCACCTCTGCCTCCCAAAGTGCTGGAATTATAGGCGTGAGCCACCATGCCTGGCCTCCTTGTTTATTTTCTATTCTCCTATTGAAAGTAGGCTCCTCAAGGGTAGAAATTTTCTTTTTCTTTTCTTTTTTATAGGTATGTCTCCAGAGTTTAGATTCATGTCAGGCAAATAGTAGGCACTCAACTAGTATTTTTTGAATGAATGAATTGAATGAATAAATTTCTAGCACCTCAGCATAAGCTATAAATCCTCTCAGGTCTAAGTAAGTACTGGTATCTATAATGTCTGCATTCTCTACTGGCCACTGGTAGCTATTTCTGTGAGATGGGAGACCAGGGTGTGCCTAGGAATGGGGTTCAGGGTTCAGACCATAGCTGTGAAGTGGAATACATGGATCCAAGGTTGGCATGTGTCTCACCTGGCTATGTGCTTACATGTATGTTTGTGGGTTTCTTTTTGTTTTGAGACAAAGTCTTGCTCTGTTGCTCAGGCTGGAGTGCCGTGGTGTGATCTCAGCTCACTGCAGCCTCTGCCTCCTGGGTTCAAATGATTCTCCTGCCTCAGCCTCCCGAGTAGCTGGGATCACAGGCACCCGCCACCACACCTGCCTAATTTTTGTATTTTTAATGGAGATGATGTTTCATCATGTTGGCCATGTTGGTCTCAAGCTCCTGACCTTAAGTGATCCACCTACCTTGGTCTCCCAAAGTGTTGGGATTACAGGTGTGAGCTATCATGCCGAACCTGTTTGTATGCTTTTGTGTGTCTGGGAGATTCTGTGCCAGCGCAGGCATGCATAAGGGCCAGCACGCCTTCTGTGTTTCCCTCTTCAAGAGACCACAGATGCTTTATAGAGCTGTAGAACCTCTGTGTGTCCATGAATGACTGCTTCCAGCTGCTGCATCCCGAAGCCTTTGCCCACCTGTGATTTGGAGCTGAGGAGCAAGTCAAAGCCAAGTGCAACTGTACAGGAAGACTCTTCTTTCTGGCTGGGATGACACTTTGTCCTTGGAAACACTCAAGTTCAAGTTCACCACTCAAGCATAAGCAAAGTGACTACATGAGACTAAGAGAATGTGTTTGCTATCCCCTCTGCAAACCCTTCTCCCAGGCCTTCCCATGGCTGGCTCCATCTCATGATTCTGACTTCAGCTCAAATGTTGCTCCCTTGAGAGAGGCCTTCCCAGAACATTCCACAGCTGTCTGAGGCTGTGCCATTTGTGCATCACAATAGCATTATGCAGAGGGGGTGCATGGGGCCCAAATCCATCCTGTGATTGGCTCCTCAAGGATTTCATAAGGGAAAGGCTTTGGAGGGTGAGCAAAGACCTTGGACTCTGTGTCTAGGTTAGCACCCCCACCTCCCATACCCTGTCTCACATTGTCGGACTTCTGTCTACATAGTATGCATGACTGCTATCTGAAATGAGGTATTTGGGCAACTTGAAATTGTGTTTCTATTTGTTACCCATCTCCTCCCACCATAATGTAAGCCTCACAGAAGTAAGGACTGTATCTGTCTTGTTACTGTTTGTCCTCCCAGTGCTGGGCGCATAGTAGGTACTCAATAAATATCTACTAGTGAATGTATTCTTTTTGTTTTAATTTGTTTTTATTGATACATAATAGATGTATCTATCTTGGGAGTACATATAATACATTCATATGAATTGTAAAGATCAGATCAATGTCATTTTTTTGAGATGGAGTCTTGTTCTGTTGCTTATGCTGGAGTGCAGTGGTGCAACTGCAGCTCACTGCAGCCTCCAACTCCTGGGGTCAAGGGATCCTTCTGCCTTAGCCTCTCAAATAGCTGGGATTATAGGTGTGTGCCACTGTTCCCAGATAGTTGTTTTAAAAAATTTTTTGTAGAGATGGTGATCTACCATCTTGCCCAGGCTGGTCTCAAATACCTGAGTTCAACTGATTGTCCCACCTCAGAATCCCAAAGTGCTGGGATTATAGGCATGAGCCACTGCGCCTGGCCTCAGTGTAGTGCAGATATCTATTATCCTAAATATTTGTCTTTCTTTATGCTAGAAACATTCAAATTATTCTCTCCTAGTATTTTGAAATATACAATAGATCTGGGGAGATGTGCATTTTTATCTTAGTAATCAACAGCTCCTTAGATCAGTTAGTTTGCATTTGAGGAAGCTGAAGACCTTAGGAATGAAAGGATTCATCCATGAGCACTTAGAAAGTTTGTAGCAAAGCTAGTCCTTGAACCCAGCTCTCCTAGGCCAGGGCAGCACCAACCACAATGCTCCAGCAGGATCAACCTTCATCTGGTCCTCAGCCTCTGGCACTGCTGCTACCAGGTGCACTTGACACTTGCTTTGCCCCAGGATCACAGCTGTGAAAAGAGCCTGGGCTTCTTTCAGAGAAGTGGGAAAAGACAGGGCATTAATATTGGTAATCACATCAGAACCCTCATGTGCACATTATTATTATTGCCCCCCCATATATATTCTAAAATAATTCCTGTAAATAATTATAAAAATAAATCTCGATGACAAATTTTTTACTTTATTTCCAGGAACACATTTATTCATCATAATCTCTTCAGGGGTAGGACAAATTGGAGCACTGGGTAGTGAATACAATTTGCAAATAGGCAATATAAGTAGAGAGAAAATTAATATGTATTCCTTGGCACTCTAAAAGGAGAGGAAGAACATTAATAGCCATTTCCTTGCAGATATAACTTTCAAAATGTTATTTCTGATCCATCAGCATGAGGCTCCATATGAGGAAAATGGTTGCAACGTGACAAGAAGCGATTAGATGTGAAATGGCATCTTTCAGGTGCTCCTACCAGCCTCCTTATCCTGTTTTTAGCGGGACATAGGAGGAGTCCTGTTTTCTTTTCTGGCCTGGGGTCACCTGCTCATTTGCTGGGTGACCTTGATCAAGTCCCTTCTGCCCTTTAAGCCTCAGTTTCCCTCATCAGTAATTGGGGTAGATGATTTCTACAGCAGTGAGTTTTGGATGATCATAAATCCAAATTACTTTGGGAGTACTTAAGAAAAATATAGATGCCAGAGGACCACCTTACTGAACTGACTGCCAAGTTCTATGTATTTTAATGAGGGTAGGAGGAGCCCTTCCCAAACTTCCAAGTGGCAGAACCTCTTCAAGTCAAGTTGGGATTCTGGAAAGCTGCTCCCACTGGAAATAGACAGTCGGTGGGTTCTCTTTCCTTCCTGAAAGTCCAGTGTAAGCCCCCCCAACTCTAAGTTAGAGATGACCGGCCTCAGGAGCCCAGCTAAGGACTTGGAATCGCGGTGAGTTCCAGGTAAATTGGGAAATATTTCAGGATTTGTTTAAAAAGTACTAAGAGATTAGCAGACAGTAGTTTTCATGGTAAATTCTATCCTGTGCCAGTCTCCTCCTTTTTTATTTTTAATTATAAAAGTAGTTTATGCATGTTACCAAAATCACAGAAGAAATGGAGTGAAAAGCAAAAGCTCCTTTCCCACCCCTGCCTTCCTCAAACCCACTCCATTCTCCAAACCCAGCTAATGTTTGCATTTTATTTTAATTTTTGTAGCAAGAGAGTCTTACTATGTTGACCAGGCTGGTCTCAGTGCTGGATTACAGGTATGAGCCACCATGCTCAGCCCTATTGTTTGCATTTTAACAGAGAAGCAACAACAAAACCTTTTAAGACCTAAAGGGAAGGAAAACAGCCAGGTGCGGTGGCTCATGCCTGTAACCCAAGTACTGTGGGAGGCTGAGGTGGGCGGGTCACTTGACCCCTGGAGTTTAAGACCAGCCTGGACAACATGGCAAAATCCCATCTCTACAAAAAATTCAAAAACATTTGGCCAGGCGTGGTGGTGTGCCTGTAGTCCCAGCTACTTGGAAGGTTGAGGCTGGAGGATCAACTGAGCTGGGAGGTCGAGGCTGTGGAGAGCTGTGATTGCACCACTGCACTCTAGGCTGGGACCCCGTCTCAAAAAAAAAAGAGAAGGAAAACTAGAGGCACTGAGTAAAAATAATTATTATAATTGTAAATAATAAATATAATAAACATTCATGGAATGCACACTCATGCTAGATATTATGATGGTATTTAATATATATTTTTAAAAAATTCAGTTTGTTCTGATTGGGGGGTACTGAAGGGGCTTTGGAGCACAGATTATCCTCAATCCCCTCACATATGTGCAAGTACTTTGGAGAGGGCCCTGGAAACCTCTCTTCTTTCCTGCACGTCCTAGAATTTTTCCTTTAGGCCGAAAGGGGGCTGCTTCAGCAACAAAGAACCTTTCATAAGCAGACACCCCACCTTTTTTTTTTTTTTTTAATTGAAATCTGAATGTGGTAAGTCTGAACGAGGGCCCGGGGCATGATTAATTACAGCAGCAACCATCTTAACCTGCCCAGGGGCTGGGCCTGAAAGAAATGAGGCCAGGCTGAAGAGAAATGCAGCTAAGGATAGTTAGGAATGCTAACAAAACTTTGTTAACTGGCTCTGTTCTTCTCTTAGCTGCTCATGCTGAGTTGGGAGATTTAAGGAATCAGTTCCTGTTTCACTGGTTCTGGCCGACCCCAGAATCAACTCCCTTGATTGGAAATAAACAGGATCTTCCTCTTTGTCCCCAGGAATGTGATGGAGGAAGGACTCGAGGCAAAGGGCCTCTTCTGCCAAAGCAGAATAATAATAACAATGATGACAGTAGGAATAAAATATTGCCCTCTTCATCAAGGGCGATAAGGGAATGTCCAGTTGTATGTGTTGAACCTTGTTGCTCTCCATGTGCCCGTTAGAGCTCCAGAATTCACAGGCCCAGGGTGGTCAGCATAGGCTGGATTTGAACTTTCTGTTCTGTGGACTGAGTGCACTTGTACAAGCTGGGCTACCTGCTTCAATTTGGGGTTCAGAAAACAGGATCACAATGGCAGCGCTTCTTGTTGACACAATGCTGCAAACGGCTGTGCACAAGTCTGAGCATGCGTATTAGTCATGGATGTCCCCGGTGCCTAGCACAAGGCCAGAACCTGGGGCACAGCGGCTGTGATAAGATGGAGCAGGATAGGAAGCTCGCAGCTTACTTTCAATTAGTCATGGAATAGGGTGAGGGGACTGTGACTGAGTGGGCCCATCTTTTACCTCAGTGTTCCTGGAGCTGGGGCAGAAAGAGCTGTGTTCAGGACTCATCGCCTACGTTTACTCTTGTAAACTCATTGTATTCCAGAGGAATTATTTGCCTAGCTCCTGGGTCAGTCTTAGTGTTTATTTTTTTACTTTCTCCCCTCCCCAAGGGAGGGATACATCACGGAAGAACTGTACTATTTCTGTTTAATGTTCCTTTTTGTTCCAAATGGTGATGAGGAGGTAGAACGATGTCCCCCTCCTGGCTTCCAATCTTGGTCCAGGGACACAGATTCTTTTTCTTTTCCATTTTTCCTCTCTCCCTTTCCCCCAGTTCCTCCTTCTGTTCCTTCTATTCTCCTTTCCCCTCATCTTTCTCCTTGTTCTTCTATTCTGAAGACTAATTCCAAAAGCTGAGGAGTAAGGACAGGTGAATTCAGTTTGTTCCTGCTGGTGTCCTCCCCCAGTAACATTTAGGAAATTACTTCTGTTACGGTCTGAATGTTTGTGTCCCTCCCAAATTCACATGTTGAAATCATAACCTCCAAGGTCTTAGGAGGTAGAGCCTTGGGGCGGGTGTGATTAGATCATTGGTGTGGAGCCCTCAGGAATGGGATTAGTACGGTTATAAAGGAGGCCCGAAAGAGCTAGCTTGTCCCTTCTGCCATCTGAGGACACAGCAAGAAGGCCATTGTCTAGGAACCAGAAAGTGAGCCATCATCACACACCAAATCGTGGTTGCGGTGATCTTTGGCTTCCCAGCCTCCAGAACTGTGAAAAATAAATTTCTATTGTTTATAAGCACCCAGCTTATGGCATTTTGTTATAGCAGCCCTAGTAGACAACTACTCTGCTCAAGAACTTTCAATAGCTCTCTATTATTATCAGTTTACAGTTCCAACACTAAAGCCCCCTCAAACAGAGCTAGCCTGATCTTAATTTTTCTGACTTCTGCACATGATCCTTCCCTGCATCGTCAACTGGTCTTCTTGATGTGTTCACCGAGCAGACACAGCAGTGGGTGGGGAAGCATTTCCAGCCTAAACTAACAGCTTCTGTAGAGCCAACGAGAGGATGGGAGAGGTGGGAGAGGTGGCTGAAGAGGTAAGGTTTGATGGGATTGTAAGAGATCTTCAGAGATATACTAGAGATTCTGGACTGTATTAATCATTAGTTGATTAGGAGCCATGGAAAGATTTTCGGTTGGATCAAATTGGACTTTTAAAATGGTTGTCCTGGGGCTATGCGGGGGAGGTAACAGTAGTGAGAGGATGTGGAAAGGGGGAAAGATGCCGGTCCACTTTGGTGACATTGGAAGTGTCTGCAGAACAGCTTACACTTAGACAACCCAGCTGTGTATGGAGGCAGGGGGATGGATGAGATGACCTTCACTAACCCCCTTCTGGTTGGGGAAGGGGGACCCGGTCTCCAATTTCATCTTTGAGTAGACTTGGGCCTGTTTCTGCAAGTCCTCTTCTGTCTGTCAAAGCCTTTCTAGGAAAGCTGAACTGAAAGGTTCAGAGGGCAGGGCTGCTGGCTGGGCCCCCGGCCCACTTCCTCTTTTTCAGGCAGGAAAAGCAGACAAAAGTGGACAATGGATCAGAGAGGGTGCGTCCAGCAGAGAAGGAGGGAGGAGGCGGGGGAGCTGGTCCTTGGGGCAGCAGGCCTGGGAAGGTTCCCTTTGATCCCCTTATCTCTGGAAGGTAAGCTTTCTTTTTTGGCCTGTAGGACCTTTGGTTGCAGCATTTCCTGGAATCCCCCAAAGTAAATACAGTCAAGACTGCATTCTTACTGCTCCACTCTGCGGAATCTGCTCCTCCCAGCTGAGAGAGGGCAGGAAGGTCAACTCTCCCAGATCAACAATGCTCATCAGAATGCTGACAAGGGCCCACCTAACAATGTGTTAGGACCAGCGCTGTCTGAGAGACGATGCCAGCCACAAAATGTTTAACCACGATCATGACTGTCATCATCAGCTGCAGAACCAAGGGCTTCTAAGTGCCAGACGCTGGGGAAAAGGAAATCAAAGCCCTGTGAATATCCCCCTCTGTGGAGGTGGGGAACTACAATTACGAATAGGCCTACTGAGTTGAGGCACCTGCAGTGTATGTGAGATCAGGATCCAGCATGTCAGGACTCAATTTTCCCTTCTCTATTTGAGAGGTGCCTATACCTACTGGAATTAAAGTAGTAGGGTAGAGAGGCCAGTTAAGGCTGGGCTGGCTCTCAGCTGCAGTAGGAGTGGAAGATGGCAACCAGCTGCTATCGGGTAGCTCTGTTCATCCTGGGCTTGGAGGCAAGAATAGGCGAGGAGAAAATCTGGATCCTTCCAGAGAACAGGCATGGGTTTAGGGAGTTACCTGCCCACTGGGCCTCCTTTCATCCAGACAGGAGGACCATGACCACCTCTTCCAGATGGGGATGCCACTGATGACTTTAAGCCTCACAAATCTCTCCGAGGAGCAGGAGAGTAAGAGAAGCTCGAAATTTGGGGTCACCAGCCAATTATCCTTCCCCAGTGTTTATTATTGTCAACTCCTAGAGGCCACAGGGAAAGCTAGCGTTTTATTTATAGGGAAATTCAACCCCCTGCCAGTCCTCCCCTCCTACAAATGGAAACTGCTCCAGCCGGAGTCCTTCAGCCTTCTGACTTTCCCCCTCTCCAGCGGCTCCTCGTCGCTGCAGTTGAGGGCCCTTATGTAACGCAGATTGTGAAATGCAGGAAAGGCCCGGCTGGCTACAGCTAACGGCTTAGATGGAGCGCCCCTGATAGCCCCTGATAGGAATCCCCCCCACCCCGGGCCTGGCCCAGACCAACGCGATCAAGTTGTGGGCATGGGGTGTTGGGCCCTCGGACACCTGGGGGAGACAGTGGCGCGGGAAGTCGGGCAGCCGTCGTGGCGCAGGGCGCCGAGGGCCACCTGTTGCAGCGGGCGGCCGGGGCTCACTTGCGCGGGGGCCGGGCCGAGGGGCGGCGGCTGCGGCGCGCGGCGGGGCTGAGGTTCCCGCGGCCCGCCAGCTCCTCCGGCTTCCGCCAGGTCAGCTGACTGCCCAGGGAGGAACTGCACGCCCGCCGCGCTCCCCTGCAGCGCTCCCAGCAGTTGCCGCCGCCGCGCCCCCGTGCTCCGTGCCGCGCGCCCGCGTCCTGGCCGCCATGGCCGGGCTCGTGGTCAGTGGAACTCAAGTAAGTCCCGGCCAGCCCCGCCTCCGCCCCGGGTGCGGAACGTGTGGGGAGGGACAGCGGGGCTCAGGGGCTCCCCAGGGCCTAGACACCCCTGTCCCCGCCTCAGGGGGCTGCATCTGCAGCGGGTGTCAGGTGCTCAGGCTCGCCCTAGTGTGTCGAAGACAGACCCCGTTTCGGTCCTGGCACACCCCCTGGCTGTGCGGGAAGAACACCCCCGAGATCCCCCGAGCTCCCTCTCCCCTTAGCGTCTCACTGAGCAGGCCCAGTAGGCACAATGCTGAAGGCCCCGGTACTTTTGGGGGCCCACAGAAAATATTCCAATTTCATAATCCGAGTTTTAAAAACTTTTGGTTAAAGAATCCATTTTGATAAATCACACTTATATAGTCATCTTTATACCAATGCAGTTGTAACATACAAATTTACTTATTGGTAAATGGAGGAAGGGGTTTACGAAGGCAAAAGTGCCTAGGGCCACCGAAGTCCCAGCACATTCCTGGAGACAAGGGTGCTGGTGGGCCCTGCCCTGGATGGGCTACACCATAGCCATAGGCTCCTTACCAAAGGCCGGTGGAAGGCCACCGACCTCCAGTTCTGTTTCCACACCCGATTTCTTGAACAGGCATCTGATGAACACTCCAGTTTCAACCCTGGGTGCCAGACACCCAGCCTCACGTGCTTTCAGCTCTGTAGTGAAGCCTCAGGTGTTTAAAGTCATTGCTGGAGGGATGAACTCAGCCACGCTGGGACCAGGTGTCTTACCTGCGGGAAAAGCCAGGTCTCTGTCTTGAACTTTTTCTCTACTCTCTGATGAAGCCAGAGCCCTCTTACTTCCCACCTTTCCCTGCACACTCTGGAGAAAAATTCTGAGTTTTTGAAGCTCTCCTCCTGGACTGTCTAAGGCAGGTAGTGTCAGGCACAGTTGGATTTTGAGATTACTTTGGGCTGAAGAGAATGATTCCTCCCTAGAGGAGGTTCTGGGGGCCTTTACAGCTCCTGCAGATGCAGTGAGGGCCAACTGTGCTGCCCATTAAACTGGCAGCTGCCTGTTTTCTTTTCCAGAGCCTTGTTTCATCAGGTACACATATTTATTGAGTGCCTACTGTGTACCAGACGCCATGCCAGGCATTGTTGGAAATTAGACTTTCCATTTTCTCTGCACACCCCTCATTTAACAGTTGCTTAGGAATGCTGGCTCTGTCCCTTGACCCATAGCCTGGGAGGAGAGAGCTGGAGAAAGATCAGAGTTCACAAGTGAGCAGACCAGGGAGCTACCAGCTTGCTGAGATGTTAAAAATGACCAATCTTGTTCAGCTGAAAGGGAAAGGGGCTTTTTTTTTTTTTTTCTGGGAGCTAATATGACTGCCTAGAGGGAGGGGCTGGACAAGAGGGCCTCTTCTTTCTCTAGGAGTGTCTGCCTAAGAAGGAGAGTTCCCTGCCCCCCAAACCCTAGGTCTCTGCATTTTCAGATGTGATATTCTCCAGGTGCACCTTGCTGCAAGTTCATGGAGCTGAGCACTTTCCTGCGCTTCCTTTCCCTTTGCTCTTCTTCTGTTTCCTAGATTTGATCTTTCCTGCACCCCTGTTCTTAACCTACTCCAGATAGCCCAAGGGCATTCATGGAAGTGGTGAGACATTTTAGGCCCTTGGGGACCGTTTTAGAAGGATGGAGTTGCCTGGGGAGGAGCTAAGAAGGTAGGTTGGAAAAATGCCCCTGGGGTCTTAGTGCTCTGTTTCCTAAACTGCCCAGGTTAGGGGATTTGTGTGGTGTTGTTTTTTTGTCGGTATTCTGCTCCCAGTGATTTCTAATGGCTGTGCCTGTATAAGAGGTAGCACCTTGAATGTGGGTAGCATGGAACAGTGCTTATCAGTCTTTAGTAGATTCTTCTTTAACTTCCTATGAGCCCATAGTATGAATATCATTTTTAATACAATGTTACTCAAATATAAAAACATAAAGCCAGATACAACTATTCCATATCTAGAGACCTATAAATCCCAAATAAAGGGATGATTTAAGTGCAAAGGCAAAAACCCTATACAATTAAACAATTTAATGAGATGAATGCTGCTTGACTTGAAGTTAGGTCATTGCTTTTAATGCCACTGTGGGCTGACTGCTGTGGAGTTGGTTTTTAGGAGCTCTGCAGGCCTGTGATGCCCATGCTTGGTGGTGTTGCAGTCTCCCTATTGCTTTTCTCTATAAAAGTCTTTTCATTCGCCACGGATCTGACTTCATTTGGCTTCTCTTGGCTTGAATGCATCATTTATGTTCAGCATTAAGTCATTTCTCTTCTTTTTCCTCTAGCTCATCACAATACGATTGTAGACACAAATAGAAACTTGGAATTTGGGGACTGAAATCTTGCACCCAAGAGATACTGGAATAACGAATCCCTTCTGTGGGGATAGTGGTCTGATTCAACAGCTATTTAACAGAGTGGCCACTGGGTGCCAAGGACAGTGTTTTGTGCTTTTAATATGTTAACTCATCACATTCCTGTAAGTACAATAGGCACAATAGTATGCATGGGGCTGTTTCATGAGGATTGAATAGATAACAAGCCCATGATAGGCATTTAATAAATGTTGTTTTTTATATTATTCTTAACACCTTTGGAGGCAGTTAGTGTTAATCCAGTTGCAGAGGAGGAAACAGACTTGAAGATAGTGACTCATCCATGACAACACAGCTAGTCGTAGCAGTACTGGGAATCAGACTTGTACCTATGGCTGTTTCTACTCTGACAGCTTCCAGTACCACATATTCACTTATTTAAGAATGAATGATAAGGTCTTGCTCTGTTGCCCAGGCTGACATGCAGTGGCGTGATCATAGCTCACTGCAGCCTCGAACTCCTGAGCTGAAACAGTCTTCCTGTCCCAGCTGCCTGAGTAGCTGTGAGTACAGGTGTGTGCCACTATGCCCAGCTCAGTATTATAGATTTAAAATTGAGGATCTCCCACCCCTGGTTAGGAGCAGGCATCATAATATAATCTCCTCAACATCTGGCTGCTGACAAGCTCATCATCTCCAGAAGTGCCCTTTCCGGAAACCAGAGAGTCCTAGCGCGAAGTGAAAGCTGCAGTCTTCTGCAGTTTGGTCACTTTCTGCAGCTTCTGCTCAGAGGGATTGGTGTGTATATGGCTGAGGACCCCTTCTAGACACACTCCTTTCCCTTTGTAGTTTCCTTTCCTTGGGGGTCTTTATCTTATTTTCATTTGCTGGGCAATGGTGTCCCTTCCTGTTATCATTCCACCCAGGGTGGAAGTCTTAGGGTACAAATTATAGAAAATAGAGAAATTATAAGTTCAAGTCTTTGTTCCTCCAGGCAGTCTAAATAAAGGTAATTGACTAAATGCAACGGTGCTCTAGATACGCCCTTGCTCCTGTGCCATTTAAGATCTATTAATCTCTATACCCCGTCTCCCTTTTGCTGAAGAAGCAAACTATTTTTGATTTGGCTCTTCTGGCCTTGAATTTTACAGTAGGTGGTCCTTGCTCTAAGAAGCTTCCTGATGTCTTCCCTCAGAAGTACTTCTTAAAAGTCTTTTTTTTTCTAGTTTCGAGTGTCGCCTGCAATGCCTGGCAGTGGCTGCTTGCTGCTTTTAAGCCTTTTCCAGCCGATTTGAGCCCTTCAGCCTGGTCGGCTTAATTCACATCTCTAAAAGCTTCTAGTTTACCACAGGGGTTGTCTAAGCATGTAGATTACCCATCAGGTTGGTCCTCGTGCTAAACTTTTGAGACTTGGTCTCCATCTTTGTGGAATGAGAACAAGTTGTGTTTTTCTTAGTCTTCCTGGGATGTTGTATAGTTAAGACCATGTAATAAAACAGGCTGCTAAAGTCTCATCAGATGTTGTGAGTGATCCAAATGCTTCGTGGTGATAGCTCTCCTTGGTGCTTCTGTTTCCTCTCTGAAGGGGACTCCTACAGAAGGAAAAGGAAAGCAAATATCCCTCTCTTTTCCCAGGCTCTAACACTCTTCTTGGGCCCTCAGTGTGACACCATGAAAAAAGTTCTTGCCCTTTCAGCTCAGAAGACTCATTTTGAAGCCAAAACATGATGATAGATGCACCATTGGCATTTGTTGATCAAGAAAACTCAGTGGGGTGCAGTGGCTTATGCCTATAATCCTAGCACTTTGGGAGGCTGAGGTGGGCACATCACAAGGTCAGGAGTTTGAGACCAGCCAGGCCAATATGGTGAAACCCCATGTCTACTAAAAATATAAAAATTAGCCAGGCATGTTGGTGGGCATCTGTAATCCCAGCTACTTGAAAGGCTGAGGCAGGAGAATCACTTGAACCTGGGAGGCGGAGGTTGCAGTGAGCCGAGACCATGCCATTGTATTCCAGCCTGGGTGACAAAGTGAGATGTTGTCTTAGAAAAGAAAGAAAGAAAGAAAGAAAAACCCGTGTCTGCCTGGCATGGTGGCTTTACCTGCAATTCCAGCTACTTTGGGAGGCTGAGGCAGGGGGATTTCTTGAGTCTAGAGTTCGAGATCAGCCTGAGCAACACAGTGAGACCCCATCTCTTAAAAAAAAGAGAGAGAGAAATCCCACACCCACATGTGGATTTGTAAGCACTCCATGCCCCCCAAGTTGGAAGTCCTTACTTATGGTATAGGACTTGATCTGGGCTCTATCACTAAGAAGCTGTATTATGCTGGGCAGGCCTCTGGAGTCTTAGTTTCCTTGTATAAAATATAAGAAGTTTTGACAAGCTGGGTCTCTACTAGATTTAGTTCTTGGTTATTCCAAGAGGAAGGAGCTCAGTTTCTGCATCTAAAACACAACATCTCTGCTATATATATTACACAGGTCTTGATTGATAATATGTACAAGATAGTGGTGCAGGCCGGGGTGAACGGGATGGATTTTCTGGTGAGCACCATGAACCTGGGGTTCATTGTGAATGAACAATACAGAATAAGCTGCTGATTGAGCAGAGATCCTGAGGGAAATCAAAGTCCCCAGGTAGACTGGGGCCTTATATCCTCAGTCTCTCTTTGGCCTATGATTTCTGTTTTAGCTTGGAAGCAGAACTTAATTTATTAGAAATTAATAAATTAGGTAGATTAATAAATTAATAAATCAGGTAGAAAGAGGGAGATTGCTAGATTGAGCTTAGAGTCCTTTATTTTTTAGCCTGTAACTTCTTGAGTCAAAATTACTTTATTGCTGTCAGCTATTTTTCTGTCCTTTCTCCTTATTTTCTCTCCTCCTAGAATGAAGTGACTGGAGGAGAGTGGATGCAGGATATTGCATTGTCAGCAGTTTGTCCTCATGGATAGAAGAAGGTTGAGAGATGACTGGAGATGTTGAGGGTGTCAGGGTTCCGTGTGGCTTGTATTAGGTTGAACCATGTGAAAGCTATTTTGTGGTTCTAAAATGGTTGGATATTGGTGGTTCACATGGGTGAACCTAATATCTAAGGATGTAAGACGGCCACCAAAGTCTTGTTTCCCCAGGAAACACCCTCCTGGGAAATCCCTCTTTCTCTCATTCTAAGACATCCGTGTCTATATGTGTGGAAGAATGTGACTTGTAGGGAAACCAGAAGAAGGTTGTAGCCATGTGTTGGGCTTGAATTTCTACCTGGGGGTTGAGTATGTTGTACTTTAGGGAAACAGCATGCACTGTGGCCCATTGGTCAGCTGGTCCCATGGATTTGTTTTATGGTTTGGGGATTAGTTGCTAGTCTGCCCACAGATTGCTGTCTCTAAAAATGGGTTCCAAAAACTGAGTGATTAGGGTAGTGAAAAAGCCCACTGACCTCGCAGGCATCAGTTCTGGAATCAGTTCAGATTCAGTTCAGTTGAGCCTTTTAATATTTGGGCACATACGGGTACTTAATAATCTGAACTAAACAGAAGAATGCCTAAGGAATAGCTTTGTGTGCAGAGCGGGATTGGTTGCCAGAGGTCTTCTGGAGGTAGACCACACATCGTTGCCCGAATCAGCTTTGTTTGGGTGTGGAGGGCATTTTGTACACAGTGGCAATTGGATGGGATTGTTGGTCTGGGGAGGTTTTCTTTTCCAACCCTGTTTGTTCCAGCACCCTAAAAGTTGAATGCTGGTAAGTGAATCTGCTGTGTCTTTTATGGAGTAATGTGCATACCAGGGTACTGGGGGGCAGTGGAGGAGAGGGAAAAGTGGCGGAGGGACAGCTGTTGCAAAGGCCCCTGAGTGAGAGGGTAATTGTTGCGGTTATATCAACGTGCTCTGATAATCAGGTTTCTTTCAGACACCTGAATCTGGCCCATTTTAGTCCAATTTCCATTGTTCTGGGATTAGTCTTCATCATGTTAACTGCACCAGGAAAGGGGAGCTGTTGGTGGAGTCCTTGGAGCCCCTAAAGCTGATTTGATCAGGAAAACAGTCACAAATGTGGCCTTTCTGTGTGTGAGAAACATGCATTTCAAGTTGCGGAAGCAATCACTGGATCCATAATTTCAGGGTTGGGAGCAGCTGGGTGATTTCCGTTTGCCACATTGTTTCTGTTCCATTTAATTTCCAGGTGTCCTACATAGGCCAGGACTGCAGAGAAATTCCAGAGCACCTTGGCAGGGACTGTGGACATTTCGCAAAGAGGCTTGATCTGAGCTTTAACCTTCTGAGGTATGTAACCTTCACAAGATGTAGGCCAGGCCTGGGAGGCCCAATCCTCCTGGGTACTTTAGGGCAGGCAGATAAAAGTCAAATGTTGCAGCTCTACATAGGGTGTACTTTTATTCAGCACAAGGTCTGAGATACGTGGAATCACACCACAAAGGTTTGACTGTGTCTGGTGATTCCTTGGCTGACTTTTTTTTTTTGTGCTGCCGAAGAGGCAGCCAGAATTTTGAGCCTCATTCATCTCACATGAGTTCCTATAAGAGGGCCATCATATTTTCACTGTGTTTTTTTCATTTCTCACAGATACCTGTGCAGACAGGTCAGAACACTCTTGGGGAAGGAATGAGATGGAACCTGCAAGAGTGTTTTGGGGTGTCTAGGTGTGCTTTTTTTTAGGATAAACGCGTGTTCCAAAGCACTCGTTGAGTCACAGGTAGGGTGTATGTGTGTGTTTTCTTTCTTTTGCCTTTTTATAAATTGGAGCTTTAAATATTTGTGATGATAATTTCTCCCAGATGGTGTTTCAAAGCAATTTAAACTGTTGGCGTGGGGTGGGTGGGAAGGAAATTCTCTGACAACTGTTCCAGTCTTGGCAAAGGTAAGTGTGATCTTGTATATTATTCCAGTGGAGAATATAGGCAGTTATTTCCTTTCTCCCTAAAAGGTTACGCCTTGTGCCTGGTTTGGGGGCTTGGAGGAGAGACGTAAGAGGTACTTGGAAAGCAGGTGTCGGTGGGATAAGCAGGGGTCAGGCATCAGGCAAGGCGATTGCTTTTCCTCCTAACAGGGTGGTGCCACCCAGGGTTTTTCCTCCGTGCCCTCCTTGATAGCTGTGTTGCCCTCTGAGTGGGACAGACTGTCCTGGGATCAAAGGAGAGATGAAGAACCTGAATTCCGTTCCAGGGCCCAGGCACTTTCCTGCCTGTAGACCTTCGAGTCTTCATTTCCCACCACTGAGTCATGATACCTGGGAATTAGGAATGTGAGGGAAAATGAACACAACTCAGGGTATTAAGGCATCAGAGAGGGAGAAGAGGATTTGTTTGAGGTCAGCCAGCAGAACTCCTCGGATGCTGCTCAGGAGTGCGTGGCCACACGGAGCTGTGCTGTCTCCAGGAAAGGGGCACCCTGAGGGTTGTGGTGGAAGGAGAGTGGCGGCTGTCTGTGTATTCTTTCTTACCCCCAAAGGGTTGTGTGCATCTGGGGAGAGGCGGAAACTGACAAGTTGCAAGGTAATGCACAGCGATGAGAGGAAGCCACATAAAATACATGCTGACTCTAAAGAAATGAGGCTGGTTTTTTGGTTCCAATATCTAAAAAGAGGACTGAGTGCACAGCCTTAAATGCTCCAGCTTCCCAGAGCAGACTCAGGCAAAAGGCTCCCTTTCCTGGGTATGGAAGGATTTCCTACTGTGTGACTGGCCCCCAGGGGCTCAGGGCATCGGGGCGTGGGCTTGTGGTTGCCCTGAGTAGCTGGTGGGAGCCGGATGTGGGTTTGAGGAGGCTGTGTCCTGTGAAGGGGCGTCAGTGCTTATGGGTCATGGGACTGGGCTGTTGGGTTTGAGGAAACACAGCCATCTTTGTCACGTCCAGGGGCCCCGCCTTTCTTTGGCAGAGGAGGGACTGGGCTTTGGGAGCTGTGTATGTGTGGCAAGAAGGGGCTGTTGGCTCTGAGGGGCTGGATCTATATGGATTTATTGTAGGAAACAACATTCTAGATGCAGGAAAATTTAGTAAGGGGGTAGCTGAAAAGTGGATTCAGAGGGAGAACACTGAAGATTAGTATTTTCCTTTGTTGAGTGGAGAGACATTTCTGTAGTGTTGTGTTTGAGTTGGTTTCACATCTGCTCAGGAGCCTGTTCTTGTCTGCGTTTTGGTCAGTGTGTGAGCTCCACACTGGATTGTAGCTGAGTTTGGGCAGGGATGAGCAACGAAGGGGTGAGGTCTAAGGTTCAGAAAAAGTTCGAGTTTAAGGACTTGGTTATGCTGGAGGGAGTTACAGACCAGAATGGAGAAAAGCACTTCTGACTTGAGTTGGGTGTGGTTGGGATTGGATCACCTTTGACCTCTTTATTTACCTAATGGGAGGGAGGAGTAGGGGAGGCAAGGCTCTCCTGGGTGTTAGAGGAAGATTTGAGCTTATTTGGGCACTGGTCTCTATCTTTGACTTCAGCTGAATCAACATCCAAAATGTTTTAGATGCTTAGCTAATTTCTCTTAAAAAGAATAAGCAGAGGCCAGGTGCGATGGCTCCTGCCTGTAATCCCAGCGCTTTGGGAGGTTGAGGCAGGTGGATCACTTGAAGTCAGAAGTTCAAGACCAGCCTGGCCAACATGGTAAAACCTTGTCTCTACTGAAAATACAAAAAATTAGCTGGGCGTGGTGGTAGGCACCTGTATTCCCTTAGAAAATCACTTCAACCCGGGAGGTGGAGGTTGCAGTGAGCCGAGATCACACCATTGCACTCCAGCCTGGGCAGCAAGAGCGAAACTCTGTCTAAAAAAAAAAGCAAACAACAACAACCACACCCCCCCACACACCAAAAAAAAAAAGGCAGGAGAGGGGAAAAATAGTGAGAAGAGAAGAGACTAGAGATCCTAAACTTACCTTCCAAATGACTAGGGATGGAGCAGATGACCCAAAACCTCTAGGCTTCAGGGATCATGATATCCAAATGAAATATCTCATGTTCTGTAGACAGTTTCTCCCTAGCCCCCTCTGCCCCTCACTATTTCCATGGGACTGCAGGGAGCATGTTTCCCAATCAGGCTGCCCTGCACCCAGCACACCACAGTTCCCTGCTCTGACCATCTCTTGGCTCTGCTGCCTGCTGTTCTTCCTCTTGGCAGCCTGCCTGGCCCCACTCGGGACACCCCCTTCATTTCTCCAAAGCCCAACATCGTGTTATTTCATATTGACTTGTACTGCCAGCTGAAGGTGTAGTGAAGGGGGCTGGGTGGTAATTGTGGCACACAGCAGGAGATAAGGTTGGGATAGCACTGTTCCTGGAAATTTTTTGGGTTCTATTTGCTACAGAGAATTTCTCCCTGGCAGTGCTCTCATTAGGGTCAGGCTTCCTGCATGTGACTAGCGCCTCTTTCTCCTAGGCGCTTTCCCTCTTTTCCATGTCACTTACCATCTTTCCAGAATTTTTGTGCTATCCTCAGAAGCACAAAATTCTCCCTTTGTTATATACAGAAAAATTAACCCTTTCCCATCCTTTTAGAACATCTCTACAGGCTTATTATTATTATTATTACTTTTTTTTACCTTGAAAGAGTCATATCAGGATGTTGCCTTAAACAGAGCAATACCTTGATAAATAAAAACTTTGCACTCCCCTAGGTTGCAAGATCAGCTGCAGTCCATTTGTATTTTAGGGCAAGTTTACTTTTAGGCAAGGAGTTCTGTTTATTCAGTTTTTAAATAGTTAATAGATGCACATGGCACAACCTTCAGAAGGAGCAAACATGCAGTGAGAAGAAAGTTTCATTTACACCCAGGTCCTTTAGCCTCCCAGGTTCCCTTTGTACTGCTACCTATTGTTACTCAGTTTTTGTGTCAAACTCCAGAGATATTCCATACACAAACTAACGTGATTTTTAATTTTTTTCTAACTTTATTGAGGCATAATTGACAGCTGAAAGTTGTATCTGTTTGCAGCATACAATATAATGTTCTGATACATGTATACATTGTGAGAAGGTTACTAAGCTCAAGCTAATTAACATATCCATCACCTCACACAGTTCCCATTTTTGTATGAAGAGACCATGAATGATCTATTGTCTTAGCAGATTTCAAATATACAATTCAGTAATATTACCTATAGCCACCATGCTGTACATTGTATTATGTTTAAGTTCTTAATCCATTTTGAGTTGATTTTTGTATATTATCTGAGAAAAGGGCCAAGTTTTTTGTATATGGTGTGAGATAAGGGATCAATTTTTACTTCTGCATATGTATATCCAGTTTTTCTAACACCATTTATTGAAGAGACTGTTCTTTCCCCTTTCTGTGTTCTTGGCACCTTTGTTGAAGATTGGTTAACACTCAATGCATAGATTTATTTCTGGACTTTCTATTTTATTCCATTGGTCTATATGTTTGTTTTTATGCCAGTATGTACTGTTTTGAAAATTATAGCTTTGCAGTGTTTTGAATCAGGTAGTGTGATGCCTCTAGCTTTGTTCTTTTTGCTCAGGATTGTTCTATTTGGGATCTTTTGTATCATATGAATTTTAGGATTTTTTTTATATTTCTGTGAAAAATACCGTTGGAATTTTAATAAGGATTGCCTTGAACCTGTTGATTGCTTTAGGTCATATGGGATATATCCCTTTATTTGTGTATCCTTCAGTTTCTTTCATCAATGTTTTATAGTTTTCATTGTATAGATCTTTTACCTCTTTGGTTAAATTTATAGGAATAAATTTTATTCCTATAAAAATATTTTATTTTTTCATGTTATTGTAAATCAGATTAATTTTTTTGGATAATTCTTTGTTAGTGTATAGGGACTCAGCTGATTTTTGTATGTTGATTTTGTATCCTGCAGCTTTAGTGAATGTGTCTATTCTAATAGTTTTTTTTTCGTATAGTCATCATAGTTTTCTATGTATAAGATCATGTCATCTGCAAACAGAGACAGTTTGACTTCTTCCTTTCCAATATAGATGCCTCTTATTTTTCCTGCCAAATTGCTCTGGCTGGGACTTCTATTACTATATTGAATGGAAGTGGTGAGAGTGGGCATCCTTGTTCCTGATCTTAGAGGAAAAGTTTTCAATATTTTTCTGTTGAGTGTGATGTTAGCTATGGGCTGGTCATATATGACCTTTACTATGTTGAGGTAAATTCATTCTATACTTAATTTGTTAAGAGTTTTTACTATGAAAGGATGTTGAATTTTGTCAAATGCTTTTTCTGTTAATGTGGTATCTCTCATTATGTTAATGTGACATATCGTACGTATTGATTGCATGTGTTAAACTGTCTTT